ATATCCAGCATCCTTTCATGATCAGAACACTTAAGAAAATAGGGATAGAAAGGACATTTCTTAAACTGATAGAGGCCATCTGCAGCAAACCCATAGCCTATATCATACTGAATGGTGTAAAATTGAAAACATTTCCACTCAGATTAGGAATGAGGCGAGGATATCTCCACTGCTGTTCAACATAGTAATGGAAGTCTCAGCCATCACAATCAGGCAAGAGAAGGCGATCAAGCATATCCAAATAGGGTCAGAGGACATTAAACTCTCACTCTTCGCTGATGATATGATTTTATACCTGGAAAATCCCAGGGGCTTAACTTCACAACTCTTAGAAGCGATCAAGGAATACAGCAGTGTCTCAGGATACTAAATCAATACTTACAAATCAGTAGCTTTTATATATGCCAACAATAGTCAAGCTGAAAAAACAGTCAAGGACCCTATTCCTTTTACAATACTGCCAAAGAAGATGAACTATCTGGGAATTTCCCTAACAAAGGATGTGAAAGTTCTCTATAAAGAGAACTACCAAATGCTGAGAAAAGAAATAGCTGAAGATGTTAACAAATGGAAAAACATACCATAGTCATGGCTGGAAAGAATCAACATTGTTAAAACGTCCATACTACCCAAAGCAATCTACAGATTTAATGCAATCCCTAGTAAAGCACCATTGACATACTTTAAAGAACAACAACAAAAAAAAATAGTACTTCATTTTATATGGAATCAGAAAAAAACCTTGAACAGCAAATACATTACTCAGAAATAAGAACAACTCAGAAGTTATCATGTTTCCAGACTTAAGGCTATACCATAAATCTATAGTGATCAAAACAGCATGGTACTGGCACAAAAACAGAGTAAAAGATTTATGGAACAGAATAGACAACCAAGAAGTGAACCCAGCTACTTATCATCATTTGATCTGCAACAAGCCTATCAAAAATATTCAGTGGGGGAAATACTCCTTGTTTAACAAATGGTGCTAGGTGAACTGGCTGGCGATCTGTAGAAGACTGAAACTGGACCCCCACCTTTCACCATTAACAAAAATTGATTTTCACAGGATAAAATATTTAAACCTAAGGAACTATAAAAATACTAGAAGAGAGTGTGGGGCAAACACTTGAAGAAATTGGCCTGGGAGAATATTTTATGAGGAGGACCCCCATCCCACCCCAGGCAATTGAAACAACACCAAAAATACATTACTGGGATCTGATCAAGCTAAAAAGCTTTTGCACAGCCAAGATCACAGTAAGTAAAGCAAACAGACAACCTTCAGAATGGGAGATTTCTGCAGGTTATGCTTCCACCAAAGGGATGATAACTAGAATCTATAGAGAACTCAAACTAATCAATAAGAAGATAACAAATAACCCCATTTCTATGTGGGCAGGAGACTTGAACAGAAACTTCTCTGATGAAGACAGGTACATGGCCTACAAACACATGAAAAAATGCTCATCATCCTTAGTCATTAGAGAAATGCAAATCAAAACCACTTTGAGATATCATCTAACTCCAGTAAGATTAGCCCACCTAAAAAAAAATCCCAAAACTACAGATGTTGGCGTGGATGCAGAGGGAAGGGAATATTTCTATACTGCTGGTGGGAATACAAGCTAATATGACCTTTTTGGAAAGAACTTTGGAGAACACTCAAGGAACGACCTACTGTTTTATCCTGCAACTCCTCTACTAGGTATATATTCAGATGATCAAAAATTATTTTACAACAAAGACATTTGCACCAGAATATTTATTGCAGCCTAATTCATAATAGCCAAGACATGGAAATAGCCCAAATGCCCATCAGCCCATGAATGGATTAACAAATAGGGTATATGTACACCATAGGATACTATGCAGCCATAAAAAAGACGGAGACTGCACCTTTTATGTTTACCTGGATGGAGCTGAATCATATTTTTGTTAGTAAAGTATCTCAAGAATGGGAAAAAAAGTATCCAATGTACTCAATACTACTAAGAAATCAATAATCACCTATACACTCATATGAATGGTAAAACATAACTATAGTCCAGAAAGTAGAAGGGAAAAGGAGAGAGAGTAGACAGACAGGAGGGGGGGAAAGAGAGAGAGGTTATTTGGAGGGACCTCACCTAATGTGCATGATGCAATGGTACATTTCAAAACTATTAAGAAATGAGTATAATTGTGATGGATGTGTTACTTTAGTAAGCATTTCACCTTGTATATCGAAGCAGTGCACTGAACCGCATAAATGCATCAATGTACAAAGTTGTGATTTAATAAAAAATAATAATAATAAATAAAAATAAAGTTCATTTAAACATATTGTTTGTATATAAACACATTTAAAAAATTAAGATGAATTTATGAATGGCAAGGTCATTTTAGAATAAAGATGTTTGCAGTGTGGGTAGGGGGTGAAGGAAGGCACATTTCTAACTTTTGAATTTTATGACATTCATTCTTTCATTCATTCAACAGATATTTCTAAAGGCATTGGTTCTCAACCTTCCTAATGCCGGGGCCCTTTAATACAGTTCCTGTAGGTTGTGACCCACAGGGCGAGAACTGCTGTAAAGACTCTCTGTAATAAAATACTATGACATATTAGATGCTGAAAAATGTAGTCTGTTCTTATCTCCCAAAGGTTCAAAGTTTAGTACAAGGAGTACAGCCATGCTTTCTACAGTAGGTCTGGTGAGGAGTGTCGCTGAATAAAATGAGTCACAGATCTTACCTCTTTTGGGGCGTCACTGAATAAAATGAGTCACAGATCTTACCTCTTTAATAACAATCATATCTTTCTAATCTTTTTGACGTTACTGACAACAGCAAAGTATTATCTCTTGTCAACAAAAAACTTCAAGCCCCTTCCAATGCCCTGATTGGATCCTAGGTAGGGTTTCTCACTTTGTCAACCCACTGCTTTACAAAAGAGGGTGAGTACAGAGCAATATTAGGACTGTGGGTAGATAAAGAAGCTGCTAGATTTTACCATTTCTTACCACCCATGAACAAATCTTCCCTGTACAAATTTTGTACTAATTGTATTTCTTGTCTAGGTGCAAGTTTGACATATTTGAGTAGGAAGTGCACATGAGAAAAGAGAGAGCAGGAGACATAAGGTGGATTCATAGCAGAAGGGACTGGAGGCAGAAATAAGGACAGAAGAAAGGAGAAAAATGACTCCCTTCAATGGAGGAGTCAGACGGTTTGGAACTTCCGTTCCCTTGTCAGCCTCTCAGAATCCCATGGAATGGGAGCTCTTTGAATTGTTTTCAACCTTGTCTGCATATTGGAATCATTTGGGGAGCTTTAAAAAATATAGAGGGGAAAATACATGCTTGGCTCTGGAAATACAATGAAGAACCACCCAGGTATGGTCTGTCTTAACAGAAGTCAGCATTATGATGAAACATTGTTTACGTCTTTTCAAGGAAGCAGTTTATAAAGTGTTGAAATTTTGCCAAGAGGATGATCAAGAAAAAACGCCAAGCTTAGCAGAGAATAAATTTAAACCACTTTGGACATAAAAACCAGAGACCCGACAATCAGGTAGGATGATGGATACCTTCCCAAACTCCTCCCATCCTTAATTCATTTCATAACTGTTCAGTAATTGCCAAACCTGGTTAGGATGCTTCGCAGAAACACCAAATACATGGGTTGCCACCTAGGCCTACTTAGTAATAACTGATACTAGCAGCACTGTGCACCTGGCACTGTTATAAGTGACTGACACAATTATTCATTTACTTAATCCCTATAACAACTCTATAGAGTCTATTATTATCCCCACCCTAAGGATGAAGAAACACAGGTCCAGGGAGGCTTAATGACTTGCCCAAGGTCATACAGCTAGCAAGGGACAGAAACAGGATTTGAGCCCAAGACTGTGCTCTTAACTTCTACACTGTATTATAAATGTATTTTAAGAGTAGAACTTTTTGTTGATTATGAAAAACTAATTAACAGGCTTTTTAGCCCATGCCCAAGACTGATGATAGAGGCATGTAGATCTGCTAAGGGAAGACCTGGATCTGAATAAGAACCATTGTCGAACAGAGTTAGTCCCCTAAACAGAGCCAAGATGCAAAAGGACCGTACTTCTGTAAGAGATACTAAAAAGCCAGATGTAGGTTGCTGGTCAATACTACATGTTTTTTATGAAAGATTAAGTGTGAAACACTTGGGGAACCTCAATACTATTCACTGGTTCAAGAAATGAGTTTAAAAAGAAACCCAGTGAATGTCTGTTTGGAGATCCATAAAAGTGGTTGATATTCTTTGACATTTAATAACTATCATTTAAGTAAGTTGCTGGCAAGTGGCAGGGCTGGATGTGCATATTAAAATAATTTAAATTTAAAATGGTATATGTAAGTTGCAGGTGCACTCTGCCCCCTTCTGAAGACAGGACTTTGGACTACTCAGGGAAAGGGCAAGTTCCAAGCAGTTAAGGTAGTCAGATTTTATAATTATATTCAAGGACTAGGATTTCAGAGAGTTGCCTGAAGTGAGCCAGAATTTTTTTAAAAAAATTAATAATAGCAAGGTTAGAGAAGATTGAAAAGTGAGATTCTTGGAAAGGTTTGTGAGCAGATAATTCTAGCTCATTTACCTATTAGTACAGACCATGGGCAACCATTCTAAATTTGTCAACCCCTGTAAGTTTCCTAATGTTTGTGAATTTGTTACCCTCCAAATTGTTTCCCTCTTCTGGACAGCAGAAAAACTCATTAAGTGACAGTGGTCTCTGCGTCATTTTCATAGGCAACAGAAAAGGAAAAATAAGTGATATCCATTTCCTGTTTTGCCACCAACCTCGAGCAAGAGGTTGCATAAAACCTGAGCAGGTGGCTGCAGAGAAGAGGTCCGCAGGCTGAATTCTAGTAGGTTTAATCACTATAGAGTTCATCTTATTCCCAGGCACGAAATAAAATGTTTCATGCCCCTCGTTGCAGGAAGGGCATCATGTATTAGAGGACTAGGAGATATACCTGGAACCTCCAGAGCCCTCCTATGTCATCAGTCCTTTCGAAGCAGACAGGTTCCAAGCCTTCTTCCAGGCAGCACTTGATGGAAGTGAGCCCGCTCACTCCACCTCCAATCACAGCAATTCTTTTCTTGGTCATGTCCCCTGAGATGTCACCTGGCTGGGTCAATGTCACTTGTTCTAAAGGAAGGATGACAAAAGACAGCACACATCAGTCAACACTTTTCAAGAAAGGCATTGGCCATGCCGTTCAAATAAATGCTGTGACAACAGGTGCCTTCGAGGAAGCCAGATTCGGCTGTCCTCTCAGCCACCGGGAACCGCTCTGCCAGGGACCGGGGAGCCTCGCTCCTGCCAGACCCCGGGCCGAGAGCGCTCAGCTGCGGAACCGCACCTCCCTGCGGGTCCAGAAGCCGCCGATCCTTCCGCTGCGATCTGGAGGCCGCTAGGGACTCAGCTATTTTCAAGTAAATATAAATCAACAGTGTACCAAGAAAACAACCACGAGGCCAATGGGGAGCAGCCGCTCGGTTCCACCTCCCGTGGGCGGACAGCCCCGCCCTGCCCCCCGCTTTCACTTCCAGCAGCCGCAGGGAGGCGTAGGCTGCAGCGCCTAGGGCGGAACACCGAACCCCCCACCGCCCCCATTTTAGCTGGGTGGCCCGCGATCGCAACTGCTCTCTCTCTCCAGAAACAGCGTGGCCACCGCCTCAGCCCTTCCCCGCCTCTCGCGTCCGCGCTCGACTTCCTGGGTTTTGCTTAAAGCGACAAACTCGGCCCGAGAAGGGAGACGCGGGGACTTGCTGTCTTGCTCCGAATGCTAAGTGGGAACTGACGTCTCGGGTGCTGGGTGGACGCGGGCGCTCGCTCCGTCGCCCACCTGGCCCTGTCATCTCTGGACTCTGGGTCTGCCGCCCGCGTCCCACACACCGGCTTTAAACCCCGCGCCCGGCGCCGGCGCTGGGGGCGGGGAGGAAAGGGTTCTGTTTTCTACTCGGAGGAGTTCAGTGGAGGAGAAAAAACCTGAACAGATGATTTCCATCAAAATACTTCCAAAGAGTGTTTTCTCTCACACAGTTATAGTTAAGTAGTTAAAAACAGAAAACACCGACTTCAAAACTGTAAGTCACATGTTAAGTCAGTAAAACCACCAATGTAACAGATTTAGGACTTCGTGCTCTGGGTCAGAATTAGGGCACATCCAGCCTGGGGCTTTCTAATGACAGATGTCTGGGTTGGAGAAGGCACAGTTAGGGTGAAGGCCTTGGTGGGGAGAAGAAACGGGTGGGGAGAAGGCACATATGGGGAGACGGCACGGGTAGGGAGAAGGCACGGGTGGGGCGAAGGCACATGTGGGGAGAAGGTACGGGGGGGGGAGAAGGCACATGTGGGGAGAAGGCAC